TTTTTTTTTTTTTTTTTATTTAAAAAAAAAGGGAGGCATGAAGAAACACAAAATCATGGCTGCTTCGTTGGGGGTGGTTCCTTTATTAGCTTTCTCAACTGTTATTTTTCTCCGGTCACAGTCCAATCATAAACCGTGGATTACCCAGGTGGGTCTCGATTCTTTTTTTTCTAACAAGCGGATGGCGAACGATGGGGGGGGTGACGAAAAGAAGATGAATGGTGGGTGATTTTAGAGTTCTTTATGGGGTGCATTATTGGAATGGGCCAAACAAAAGCATGATAAGTCAAGAGTGAAAAATCTAGGTGGAAAAATAATGGTTTATGGTCCAAACAGAGGAAAGGCCAACTAAACCCAGAAGAGAATAGTCAGCTTCTTTTAACGTGACCAATAAAATCATATATATTATTATGGTTCACCAAATATATATGTAAATATTTCAATAAAAAAAATAAAATAAAAAGTAAAAATTGGTTCAGATAAATTAAAAGATAAACCCATTAAAATTCTGCAGTCTCCGCCAGTTTTCTTTTCATTTCATTGCTTCAACCAACTCTGTACCTATCCACAGTTACCAGTTTTCTTATTCTCTTCAAAGTTCAACCAGGTAAACCAGTTACGTAGATATACATATAGGCTTTTATGTGCTCATGAAATTTGATTTTTTGTTGAAACAATTTGTGGGTTTTTTCTGGGAAACGTCGGGTTAGAGGTGGGGACTGAGGAATATATTACATATGGTTTTTCAGTGACTGAAGAACTTGAGAATTTTGAGTTGCAGAAATGAAGTGCGTGGAGGCGACAGCTTTGAAGCCAAGTTTACGAGGGGAGCTTGCCATGAAATCGACCCAACAAGGTGCTGTTGATGACATATGGTGCTTTAATGGAGCAAACGGTGTTTCTTCAGGTGAAGATTTCCCCGTAGAATGCTTCCTTGATTTCTCTAACGGGGAATTTGGAGATGGGTGTTTTTTGGAAGAAGAGGAAGAGGAAGAAGAAGAAGAAGAAGAAGAAGAAGAAAAAGACCGGCTCTCTGTTTCTTCTTCTCAAGATGATAATAACTCCAACTCTTGCAGTCATTCTTCTGATTCTTTCCTCACAAGCGAACTCGCTGTACCGGTATAGCTAGATTCCTTTCATCTTATTTTTCTCCCACAAGAAAATTAATATTTATTTTTTAAAAGTTTTTTTTTTTTTTTTATGGTCTTGTGTTAATTTTATTCCGAAAATGAAAAGAAGCCATTTCTGGTGTTTGCAGGACGATGATATTGCAGGGCTTGAATGGGTTTCTCACTTTGTGGACGATTCTTTATCGGACCTATCCCTATTATTCCCCGCCGGGAAGGTAAAATCAGAGAACAAGGGAAAACGCCGGTGTGACCCGGTCGGACCGCTGCTGGTGAAGACTTCAGTTTTTGCTTTGCCTGTTCCGGTCAAAGCAAGAAGCAAGAGGACCCGACCCGAAAACACTGGTAGAGTCTGGCCTCTCGGCTCACTTTCATCCACGGAGCTATCAACCACATCCTCATCTTCCTGTTCAACATCTGGTTTCAACTCCGTCATACAAAGAACAGAGGGACAACCGGCTGAGAAGAGACCGAAGAAGAAAGCAGCAGGTCAACCCGGTGGGTTAACGGGCGGAGCCCCGT